ACACAGGTAGCAAAAAATAATCTTGAAAAGTCACCTACAATCCCACACATTTACTTAGAAAAAGTTAAAACCAAATATTTAAATTATGTTTGCCATGCTATTTACTTTTTATAAAAACTGACTCAGAAACATTTGCTATATTAAATATACCAAAATGTAGCAGCTTTAAGCCCAGGTTTCAGGTAACTTAAGGAGCAAGGGATTCACTTAATCTATTCCCATCAGCCTGGATATCAGAACACAACTGCCGATTTCAAATGCTGCTTCAACCCACTTCTGATTTTTGGTGACACAGATTTCAAGTGCTACATGGCTGCCCCAGCCCCACTGACATCTCAGGGAATTCAAGTGTGTAAGCCATTTACGACATGATAACTGTAAACAGCTCATCTGCTGCTGAATGAACCATTTCCTGAGTTGCAAGAGCAAAGTTAAGTCTTTCGGAATCACTGTGTCACTTTAATTAAATTTTTTTTTGGGGGGGGGCATAGTCTCACTATGTAGTTCAGGCTGGCCTTAGACTCACTAAGTAACGCAGGCTGGCCTTGAACTCATGGCATCCTCCTGCCTCAGCCTCTAGAGATGCCGGCTGATTTTTTAATTTGTGAGCAGACTGCCCTTTTGGACAAGGAACACAATACAATACAATCTGATTTACATCAGTGCAATTAAAGCAATTCATCAAAGCATGAAAATTTTTAACTGAAACCAGCTCCACAAAAAATGAGGAAACAATTCACTTACCCCTCCTGAATAAGGGAGAAGTTTTCACATACTAGTCAGGAAATGTAACGTATCAAGGACATCATATGCATTATAAATATAAAACATAATTTTTTAAAAAACCATTTCACAATAGGCCTGCATGCCACAGAGTTTTAAAAAACAAGTTCTAGCATATGAAATTTCTGGAGCAAAGAAGCATACCATCCAGTGTTCTTAAATTTCTATGCAACTTTTTAAGCTACTGATTGTATTTTATATTCCCTTTATTTAAAAGCTTCAGAAAAAGTTCAGAAAACAACCGGACAAGGCTTCTATTTTAATAAGCATAGCCATATACACCAATGTGAAAGAACCATAGCCAGTTATAAAATAGAAAATGTCAAATAAATGAAGCTTTACTATAATTCTCGAGGGGTTTAGTTTAAGTTATATTGTCCACAGGGTGGCAGTCTCATAGTTCAAAAAGAGACACATGCAATAAATTTACTATCTGGCCAACGCTATGAGCAAAAACTGCCCGGCCTCTCCCAAATATCTGCGTTTCATAACCGTTTTACTTGTTTTTTTCTTTCTGGCATCTTAAATTATTTTCTTCAAGGACCCTCTTGCTGATCCTTCCCTCTCTACTCTGCTGCCATTACCCTATTTATAGACTAAAAGCAAGGAGAGCTGTTAGGAGACTGCTAGACTGCAGGAGACTCCCAGTGCCGGTCAGGGCCTAACCTAGGTAGGGTGGGAATAGAAGCAGAATGGGAAGGTGGGGATGGGCACCCCAGAAATAGACCTTCCATCCTAGTCTAGTTCACCTTGCACAGTACTACCAAACTAATCTCATCAGAACAGTCATTTTACCAGAAATCCCTTTTCCTAGCCAAGTAAACTGCTTAGTCTCAAATTCAAGGTCCTTTCAAAATCTTTTTGTTAAGAGTCCAACAAATCTGTAAATGGTCCGGGGATTTAGCTCAGTGGTTCTGCTGCCTGCCTTGCAAGCACAAGCACAAGGTACCAAGTTCGATCCCCGGTATAAAAAAAACAACAAAAAAAAGATCTAAAATAAACTGCTTTGAATACACTTTGCAACTCTTGATTTTAATTCATTTAATCACTCCAATATTACACTTCTGACAGGGCAATCCATTGAGGGTAGGGGTTAAAGCCTCCAGGCAGTGCCAGCGCTCCAGAGAAGGGGAGAGGGGCCTACAAAGTAACAAACCCTGGAACAAACACACTAGGTTGGGGCCAGCTGAAATGGGAGTTTGGACTGGGAGCGGGGAACAAGGAAAGACACGTCACAGATCTGCCAGAGCACTGACATTGCTCCCTAATCTATTTTTGCAGCCTTGTTTCTCTTTCCTATCCTATTTGTACTCTCAGCTCAGCCAAAAGGTGCTGGCAACTGTTAATGCACCTCTGCTCCTGTCTGCTTCCTCTGAATGCCTTGTTCCCCCACCCCTACCCCCCATATCTATTAATAAAAGTTGAAACAGCCTTCGAAGTCCACCACAATTGCTGACTCCTATACAGGCCTCTCCCCCTGCTCATATGGGGATGGGAATTCGGAGACCTTCAAAAACTATGACCCTTCGTCTGGCCCCCTCTGAGCACTCATCACACGATGCATGCATCTAACTTTTTCTATTTGTTATTTACTGAACACCTGCTACATTTCTGAAAGTATCTAGAAATGAGTTTCACTGTTACACTCTTCCATCATTAAATAGATAATAACCAAATGCTAAACATAAAATCTATAGATAAAATATTCTGTGCTTTCTATTGCTTCAATCCTTAATGGTTTTGCTAAGATATAAAGTAAATTTGAAATATATACAATTCATTGTTTTTTACTATATTTATGTAGAGGTGTTCAACCATCACCCTAATTGTACTTACATTAGAAAGGACCAACCCATTCCCTTTCTAATATAAGGGAACTACTAATCCTATTTCTCTTGCAGATTTCCCTATTTCATACATTTTATATAAGTGCAACAATACAATGTATTTTTTTTTTTTATAGTAAGGGCAATTGAACCCAAGGCCTTCACACTGATCTGTAGCCCCAGGCCACAGTTTTTATGTTGAGCTGCATCTGGCTTTGATGGCTCAGTCAGAACTTGAACTTGTGATCCTCGTGTGTCAGACTCCAAAGTTCTGGGGTTACACCGGGCAGAACATAATTACGCTTCTTTCGATTAGTGTCATGTTTCTGTAGGCATATCCAACTTTTCGGTTTGTCTAGGTGAACTGAGTAGAGGAATTATCTTGGGCCACATACAAAGTACAGAATAGAGTTACTATATATAAATAACAAAACACTCTACACACACACACACACACACACACACATACACACACATATGTAAATATCCATAACATTAAAAAAAAGAGCGGACCCCATGGGAAACACTGCAAAGAATCAAAAAGTGAGACCTCATCTTAATTAAAAAGCTTTTGTACAGTACGAAAAACTACCAAGAGTGAAAAGTCAGCCCACAGAGTGGGAAAAATTTTTTACCAGCTGTTCATCAAAGGACTACTATCTAGAATATATAAAGAACTCAAAAAAATCCCCCCAAATTTAAAGGCCCATCCAAAAATGGGCATCTGAAATGAACAGACACTTCTTAGATGAAGAAGTAGAAACAGCAAATAAATATATGAAAAAAATAATGTTCAACAACTGGTAATTCAAGAAATGCAAATTAAAATAAAGATGAAATGCTATCTCACCCCTGAAAGAATAGCTGCTATCAAGAAATCAACCAACAACAAAAGCTTGCAGGGTTGTGGGGAAAAAAGAACCCTTCTCCTCTGTTGGTGGGAGTATAGACTGGTGCAACCACTGTGGAAATCAATGTGGCAATTCCTCGAAAAACTAAAACTAGAGGTTCCATTTGATCCAGCTATTCCCATTCTTGGTATTTTCCTGAAAGAATTAAAAGAATCATACCACAGCAGCATATACACACCCATTTTTATAGGGGCACAATTTTGCAATAGCTAAATCTTGGAAACAGCCCAAATGCCCATCAACTTATGAATAAAGAAGATGTGGTTTTTTTTTTATATACAATGGAGTACTACTCTGCCATGAAGAATGAGTTTCATACAGTTATAGCCAAATGGATGGACCTCAAGATCATACTTTTAAGTGAATAAATCAGACACACCTGTTTAAATACTGCATTCTCTGGTGTGGGAAACCAAAAAGGGAAATAAAGACTAAAATGTATAATAGATATTGGGAAATGGGAAGAAAATCTTCAAATGGGAAGGGGAACAAGGGAGGAGGGAAGGAAAGGAAGGAAGGGACAAGTAAAAAAAACAAACTAGAAGGAAAAAACGGAAGCAAAGCTTTTGTACACAGGGAGGGAAGGGGGCTTGATAGGAGGAGGAAGGGGGAAAAAGAGGCAGGATGTACTGTGTGCACCTATACATGGGTTGTATAAACCACCGTATAATCTCTCCCCTGTTGAAGGTAGATATACTCCTTAACTTTTTCTTATAAATAAATAGAAATAGGGCAAATGGCCTGTAGGCTGACTACACCTAACAGTAAGTATAATGTTCTTGAACCTCATCCATGTGGTGGTATGCATCAGTACCTCATTCTCGTTTTAGTGCCAAACAATATTCCCTTGTAAGGATATACATTTTATTTATTCATTCATTAGTTGATGGACATTTAAAAGCCATTTCCACATTTTGCTTGCTACTATTAACACCTGTGTATAAGTTTTGGGTTAGGCACATGCTGCATTTATCCTGGGTATAAATGCTAGGTCATATGGACCCACTATGTTTAACATGTCAAGTTTTAGTGCCAAACAATATTCCCTTGTAAGGATATACATTTTATTTATTCATTCATTAGTTGATGGACATTTAAAAGCCATTTCCACATTTTGCTTGCTACTATTAACACCTGTGTATAAGTTTTGGGTTAGGCACATGCTGCATTTATCCTGGGTATAAATGCTAGGTCATATGGACCCACTATGTTTAACATGTCAAGGAGCTAGGAGCTAACATTAAAGGTCACTCTCTGATTAAAGATCCTGTTACCTAGTCAAAATTTATCAGGTTAAAATTCCTTTCTACCTTCCCTGCTTGACCTCCCAAGCCTCCCCCTCCAGGCATTCTGAGCTGGGGCCAAACCAGAGTACTACTTCCAAGCCTCCTGGTACTGGGTCTCCTTCCACCTCAGCCAGGACTCACATTCCCCACGAGGAGAGATCCAACCAGTTCTTGAAGGCCCAGGGCAAATGCCCTTTCCTCCTTGGCTCTTCTCTCCAGCCCTCTGTGCAAAGTACAACTCATTCCTTCCTTCTGTGCTCCAGGAGCAATTCTGTATCTCTCACCTTGCATACTACACCTGGTACACAACTACACATAAAATTATCCGTCTTATACAGGGTTGCTGTTATCCAACACTCTCTTCACCCCACCCCAAATATATACAGTCCTAATACTAGTTACAGTCACTGAGTGCTCATGTAAAAATAACCATTCCAGAACCATTTGCTACAATGTCAAGTCATTACAAACATTAAGCCTTCTATGAAGATAGGACTATTTACTAGAGCATGAGGTTTGAATTTGGAAAGTCTTTAACAACACTATTACACTCCTTTTTAAGTGAAACATGTTCCGTTTCATTAGCGATTCAAGAATTGATCAATATCCGGGGCGTGATGGTGCACTCCTGTAATCCCAGCACTCAGGAGGCTGAGGCAGGAGGAGTGCTCTGAGTTGGCCCAGCCTGGGCTACATAGTGAGTTCCAGGTCAGTCTCAACTACATAGTGAGACCCTGTCTCAAAAAGCAAAACAAAAGAAAACAACAAAAGAAGAACTGATCAACAATTCCTGCAACTCCATCTAAAGTCTGTGATTAATATATATTACCAAGAATTTATGACTCTAAAGCGGAAAAGGTGAAAGAGCTCCACGAGGTCACACAGCTAACCACTAGTCACAACGTGAGTATTCAGTAGTCTAGCCAGTAGCTACTAACAAAATGCACCTGAAGATCATAAACTTCCAAAGCATGCGGTAAACCTCCCATGTGGTGAACACTCAAAACATCGGAATTCAGGAAGATTTAAATTTGCTTTTAATTGTGGCAGTTTGTTCGTGCTTTTTAAACAAGGTAATACTAATTAATGCTTAATCGTGCAGATCACGTTAATAATTATTTTCAAACTTACTGTTCCTTTAAAGCTATAAAATAACACACAACCAATACTTCCGCTTAGTAACGACCCTGACTAGAACCCACACCCAAAAGTATTTTTTCCTTCATTTCCATTGGCCTGATAGGCTAAATATTAGAGCTGCCTCTATTTTCTAATTTTTCTTGCATTAAAGATAATGCTTTTGTTTCATTTACAGAGCACACGCTGCTGACACAGCTGTCCTTTCTTTGTAATAAACACAGGGCTTCTATACTTAAAAACACAGTGAAACTTTGTTAGAACATCCTCTCCCCAGTCACTGGCCAATTTCTCTCTTCCGAGCTCCACCTCCACGTCAGGAGTTTTTAGTCATTAGTCTTTTTTGGAAAGTCAATTTTCTTCTTTAAAAACATCTCATCACAGCGGTATATTTCTGCTCCGTAACTCATTGTGCTCGTTTTTTTACCGCGGCAAGGGGGAGGGGTCTTTCCCCAAAGACCAGGGCGCTTTTGGAGGGCGACTGTCAAGCTAGCCGGCCTCAGGGCTGGCCAGGGCGCAAGCAGCCGGCGGGCCTGAGCGAGAGGTAGGAGAGAGCCGAAAGACAGTGAGACCCCGGGGTGCTCGACAGGTCTCTTAAACGCCTGCCGGCGGCAGGGGCCAGGGGACGCCCAGTGCAAATGCAATTTTATTTATTAAAAATAAATACAAATGCAATTTATTAAAAATAAATAAATAAAATCAGTTAAATAGTACATTTTAAAAAATAAAAAAGTAAATTTAAAAAGCAAGCTAGGTGTGGCAGTTCCCACCTATACACAGTACTGAGAAGCTGAGTCAGGAGGATCACAAGGCCCAGCCTGGACAATTTAGTGACTATTAAGACCTTGTTACCTAAAAATTAAAATGTTTTTAAAGGGCTGGGAATGTAGTGTAGTGGAAAGGCCCTGGGTTCATACTGGACGGGACGGGGGGGGGGGGAAAGAGAGTAACAAACAGAACACTGGGCTAGGGGTATAGCTCAGTAGTACAGCACTTTCCTAACAGGTATAAGGTTCGATTCCCAGCACCACAAAAAAATAGATTTACAAGAAAAGCAAAGCATATAATGAATGCATCCACTCGCCGCAGGATAAGATCCCTTCTAGTTAGAAATTTCCTTCATCTCCTACAGTTCCTACCTGCCCCCTACAGGAAAAGGTGAGGAACTGAAGAGAGGCAGAGGCAGCTGCACTAGAGGGGCCGGAGTTCTCCTCCACAGCGGATGGATACCGACGCACGGCCCAGAAATCTTCCTCTGCCCTCGACCGCGCAGGGCCCGACCAGCTTTGAACACGGGCCAGCAGCTTTACGCGGAAACCATGGGAGGCTGCCACCACAGCTTCCGCTCTATTAACTCCGTCCTGGTGGGGGTGCACGGACACACAGAGAGGTCACAGCGGGCGAAAGAGCAACGGGGCTGGGCACCGGGTGTCGCCCTCGGGAATCCCCACCACAGGGTCCTGAGCCTCCCGACCATCAGAGTCAGTGGGGAACATCTTTTAAAAGGCCCCCGGGCCCGCCCAGTTCCTGCTGACCTAGAATCTTTGGGGAATGCCACCCAGAAATCTTGTTCAAATGCTCTCCAAACCCCAGGGACTCTCAGCTGGTCTTGGAAGCCTCTGTATTTCTCCAGGCCCCGAAGCCACCCCACAACGGGAAAGCTCTGGGGCGACTGTAAAACTACCCTCATGGTCAGGTTTGTTTCACTTCCCCCGCCCCGCTCTGCACCTGCGCCCCTCAGCAGCCGCATCTCGGCAGCGCCCTCTGCTGGATACTCCGCGAAACCTAAAGGGCAGCGAAGAACGGAAGAGTCGGGGGAGTCAGGTATCGCAGCTCAGTTTTTGTGATCCGGCAGAGTGCAAAGCGGATCTCCGCCGTGTTGCGGAGGTTGAGTACCAAGAATCCACTGACTGAGGAAATGCAGCACTGAAATAAACAAATACATACAAATACCTGAATTAAGAATTTGGTTGTGGCTGGGGTTGCAGCTCAGTGGTAAGGTGCCTGCTTAATTGACACAATGGGCAGTGTTTGACCCCCGGAATATATGTGGGAAAGAAAAGAAAGAGAAGAAAAATACGCTTTTAGTTGGGACAGTACTAGCCAAATACCAGGGGGTGGGGGAGGCAAACACAAACATGGCATATTCAGTCGTTTGGGTCACCAGAAGATTAATCCCCTAGAAGTTGCAGTTATTTATTCACTTACTCATTCAGTTTTTCAACAAGTTATTTTTGTTTTTGTTTTGTGGTCCTGAAAATTGAAGCCAGGACCTCTTGCATGAAAGTGCTCTACCACTGAACTGCTTAAGTATTCCTTCTGTGCCTAGTAAATACCAAGCACTCTTCTGTCAGTAAAACCAAAACAATTCTCCCCTCGGGGATTATAGCTTATTGACAGAGACGGGTATGAAACCGATAAATATCTATGTAAAAATGGTGGTCAGTACTATGAAGGAAAAAAACAGGTATTTGAGGGTGCTAATTTAGGAAGGATGGTCAAGGATAGCCTCTCTCTGGAGCTGACTTGAAGCCAGGAGCAGAGATCTGAGGTAGAATTAGTTGTGCGAAACAAGGGGAGGTTCCTGGTGGCAGAATTCTGATATGAGGCACTTAGGGTGGCTGGAGTGCCAGGAACAAGAAGGGTATGGACAACAGGAGGCTGAAGAGGTAGAAAGGTTAACCACAGGTGCCATCCACACGTGGGCACATTCATCTGTGCTAAATGCATTATCCCAGTTGAGCCCATCTGTTAGGGCTGTGTCCAGATGTCCCCCAAAGCCTCACGTGGTCATAGGTGGGGCTTTTGCAGAGGTGGCTCCATATACAGTGTGTGAAGCTGGAACTGATTCCTTATGCACTGTTGGGCTCAAGGGCACTAGGATTAAGGGTGTGAGTGCTACCCACCCTAAGTAGTCTGGATAGGATAAAAGGGGCAGAAAGACCCTGTTAAGGTCCCTTATTGCTTTGCTATTCTCTGTCTGCTGTGAACTGTTCTCTGTGATGGCACCCTGCCTTGGGGCAAGCCAATTATGGATTGAAACCGCTACAGACTAGGAGCTAAATAAACCTTTTCTCTTTTAATTTTGGGTGTCAGGTATTTTGTCTCAGCAATGAGAAAAGTCACTAAGACACCCTCACTCATCCTCTTAAGTAGTAGGTGACAGTCTCATTCTATGCATTTTATAGATAACAAAATTTAGGCACAGATTAATGACTTACCCCCAATTCTGTAGATAGAAGGTAACAAAGCTAGGATGTAAACAAAAGCAGTCCAGCTTTACCACCCAAGCATAATATTCTACGTTGCTTTCAAGGCACTGCTAAGCTCAAGTTTCATTGAAAGGGTCATGAGACATCTTTGTCCACTTATAAGCAGGAGAGCAAAATGGTGCTGGATGGATAATAGATTATAGGGAGGCCAAAATGGGACAGTATGGCAGGAAAGCATTGTAGTCCAGACAGGAAAGGATGGTGGCTTAGACAAAGGAAGAGCAGTGGAGATGGGAGAGAGGTGGAGAAATTTAAGCAGAAGTGACAAGACTGCTGATGGGTTAGGGAGTAGGCGTGGGAGAGGAAGCTGTGAAGATGGCATCCAGGCCAAGGAAACTGGGTGCTTGGTGGGCCATGGGCTGAAGTAGAACGGGAGCAAGTGTAGAGAGTGGATAGAATTCAACTGAGTGCACAATGAGTTTGAGATGTCTATGATACACTTAAAGTGAAAAACCAAAGAGGCCATGGAGTAAAAATGACCAGCATCTCAAACTTACTGTGTGTAAAGGTGAACTCTTCATTTATATCATTCTGAGATTCAGTGACATCTACGCTAGAAATTGAACAGTACTGTTTTTAGCACCATGGATGTTTTTTCAGTCACAGAAATGGTTACTATAAAGAAAACCATGTAGAGATAGAGGAAGAGCTCAGAGGACCAAACCTTAAGAAGCTTCCAGAGCTTGGGGGTTGAATCTGAGAAGAGGGAGAGAAAGAGAAAGAGACAGAGCACCATCATCTGAGAGCCAATAAGGAAGAAAGAAATCACAAGTCAGCCTGGGACTGTGAACATATTGTTCTCTGCAAGGGAGACAGCTCATTCCAGTTTCCTTTCACGTGGGAGGATTTGGCCCAGACTCATAGTTTCAATGACAAAGCCTAGGCTGGGATTTAGGGAGCTGGTATGCTTGTCTCAGTGTAGACTAGAAAGTAGTAGGTACACGCCAAAATAGAAGATGCCTAATGCTTTCCTTTAACTCCTCACAAAAATGAATGGACAGGCTGAGTCAGCTCAGGTGTGGAGGCCCACAGGTTCTGGGAGGGAGGATTCACTCCAGGGATGGATGGGTGGGGCTAAGGCTTTATGATTCATGTTCCTGCTGTCATTTCCTGTATTGCTTCTCTTTTTAAAAATCTCTCCCTGGAACTGCCTCTGATTTTACCCACTTCTCCTTATTACGGGCAGCTACATTAGATATAAATTAATATACAGTCAGAGAGGGACATGACTCTCAAGGAAGTCAGCACAAAAAGAAAGACATCAGAATTGTGGCTGGAGGCTCATCTGAAGGCCAGGTCTCCTGACAAAGATGCAGTGGCCAGGCCTGCATGCCTCCCTAAGGGATAAACAATAACTTGAGATTATACTGTAATTAGTACCACCTGGTCCAGGAAGTCCAGATAGGCATTAGAGGGCCAGGAGGGTGACCAGAACATCTGGACCCATCCCTTCCCCAAAATGCCTTTGTGTTTTCCTTGTGCCCTTACTATGTGACCCGCTTCCCATTGGACCGATATTAGCTAAGTGGCTATAATAGTACTTATAATCCTGTAAGTCAGTGGTAGTTTGATCCATGTTGTATCCACATTGTGACTCTGCTGATGAAGGAATTTAGTGCTCACTCATTCAGGACCCCTCCTGGAAATCCAGCAGCTATTCTTCTCTCCTTACTGCCAGTAAAACTCTCCTAACTTCTTCCTTCAGTTTGTGACTTCATTCCTTGGTGTTGTGGGACCATGAACTCAGCACATTTGACATCTAACAGGTTGAGAGTTGTATTCTCCTGTATCATTATTGTCTATTATTTCCTTCACCCCCAGAAAGCATTAAAATATTAGCAATCATCTTGTCCCCATACTCCTATGATACTAAAATCATCATCACAGGGCTGGGGATTTAGCTCAGTGACACTGTACCTGCCTCGAAAGCATAAGGTCATGAGTTAAATTCCTAGTACCAGGGGAATAAAAATCATCAATGACTATGATAATATGCTGATTTAAATTTTTTTCTTGAAAGTCACTCACATAAGTGTTTCAGATGATTTTTGTCTGCATGGTAGAGAGGAAGGAAAGATAAATCCTTACACTACAGTGCAGCAATTGTAGAAGAATTATTTTGTTTTGTGGTTTTGTGGTACTAGGGATTAAACCCAGGTCTTTCACACTGAGCTATCATCCCCAACCCTTTTTTAAATTTTGAGACAGGGGCTTCCTTAGTCACTAAGCTGTCTAGGCTGGCCTGGAATTTGTGACCCTGCTGCCTCAGCTTCTGAAACTGCTGGGACTACAGGGTGTGCCACTTTGCCAGGAAGAAGGGCAATTCTATGCAGAATGGTCCCTAGCTTCTAGGCTGACAGCCCAGAAATTTGGGTAGCTGTGTCACTGGGGAAGTTCTACTATTAAAATTTTAAAACTACTAGGGCTGGGGATTTAGCTCAGTGGTTCCGCTGCCACCTACCTTGCAAGTGTAAGGACCCAAGTTCAATACCCGGTACCAAAAACAAAACAAAACAAAACAAAAATTTAAAACTACTATTTTCTTAATTATAAAAGTCAATTTTGTCTTAGAATTGGACTTCCTGAAGGGTACCGAGCATAAGATTAACCTGGAACCTTGCGAAAATACAATGGGAACTGGGCATGGTGACACACACCTGTAGTCCCAGCACTCTGGGAAGCTGAGGCGGGGGCGGGGGTGTCCACAAGTTTGGACAGTTTAGTGATTTAGCAAGACCCTGTGTCAAAATAACAAAATTTTAAAAAAGGGCCAGGGATATGATTCAGTGAGAAGGCCCTGGGTTCAGTCTCCAGCGCCACAAAAAACAAAAACAACAACAAAAGAACAGCGGAGAGGACTTGCCATATTTCTAACAAGCTCTCAGGTAAGGGAGCCAAAGAAGCACAAGTCGAGTATCAAGGATTTGACAAACACATGAAAAGTAGCGAGGATGACCATGTGCCAACTGTGAATGTGTTTCCTCATGGGACAATTCCGTTCCCATTTCCCCTCCTGGGCCCTCTCCAGCAGCACCTGCAGCACCTAGAGAGGACGCAGGTCAAGATGGGAATGTGGAGTTGCTGGGAAGCTGGAGGCCTTTTGGAATAGCTGGAAGTGGGTGTGGAGGAGGTGGCCAGGGAAGGAGAGCGGGGAGGCTCTCCTGCGAGGCTGAGTTGTCTGACCCTGTGCCCCTCACCTCAGGCGAGTCCCAGTCAGGGAACTGCAGGCTGGAGACAAGCACCAGTGCAGGCCAGGATTGAAGTGAGGGGGACCCTGGGGTGACAAGTGGGCCTGCCAGATCCAGGGTTTGCTTCCCTACCCCACCCCCCACTCTGGGAGGTAGTAATTCAAGGGTATCGCCCTCCCGGTTACCTCCTGGGAGGAGAAGGAAAAGCCCTGAGTTCACTTCTAGGATGAGTTCTTGTTGCCCTGGGCTTTCCACTTGAGGATACACCATCTTCTCTTGTTTCTTGGATCTCCTTCTGTTCCAACCTTCACCACCAGTGGCAAGTTCAAGCCCAGCCTGGGCAATTTAGCAAGTTGATGAGATCCTGTCTCAAAATGAAAAGGGTTGTGGATGGCTCTGGGTTTGATCCCCAGTAACACACACACACACACACACACACACACACACACACACACACACAAAATTACAGGACAAATTCCTAAACGTTTTCATAAAGAAAGAACTGATCACTTGTGGTGATTAGGCATTGGCAACAAATTGCTCATTAGAGCAATCCTACCAGCAGGTACTGAGCAGTCATAAGATAATGGACTAATATTGACACAAGAGCCATGAGGTCAAAAAAAATCTCCTCCAGTAAGAAGGGACCTTCTATGAAGCCAAAATGAATGATTTAGTCAGTCTGTACCAGTGACGGTGAACCTTTTAGAGATGAGTGCCCAAACTGCAACCCCAAACCCACATATTTACTGCAGAGTGCCAACACTACAAGTAAACCTGAATACTGAGGTTTTAGTTGAGAAAAAACACTTGACATTAGCATCTTTGGTCTTAAAAAAAAAACAAATAACCCATATGCCATAGGTTTGCCACCACTGGTCCATATTTTGATGTACAGCTTTAGTTACAATGCAGGTGCTCCTGAGAAGTTAACAAGAAACAAGATCCTCTGGAAAATGCAGTTCTGACATATCTCCATTTGCTCACTGAGACCCTTTCCCACATCTGCAATCACCAAGCTCTGTGGGCAGTGGCGCATGTCTGTAATCCCAGCACTTGGGAGGCTGAAGTAGGATGGCCACAAGTTCAAGGCCAGCCTGGGCTACACAGTGAGACACTGTTTCAAAAACAAACAAACAACCACAAAAGCAACCTCTCGGTGTGTTTTGGTGCATGCCTATAATCCTAGCACACTGGGAGGCTGTGACAGGAGGGACACAAGTGTGAGCACAGTCTGGGCAACTTAGTGACTTAGTGAAACCCTGTATCAAAATTTAAAAGGGCTGGGTATATAGCTCAGGGTACCTGGTTACCATCTCTAGCACTATAAAAACAAGCAAAAGAATACCTCTTCTGACAGTTAGATGCACCTCTTGGAAACTTATGTGCTTGTTGTCCCTCTTGACAGCCTACTCTGTGTTACCGTCATTGGCCTAGTCAATGCCATCTCTCATGGCATCATTGACAGAGGTCCCCTCTGCTCCCACCCAGCCTTCTGAGTGAATGTGTCGTGTCCTTACACAGGCAGGTAGTGGGAGAGCAGAGTCCAGTAGCTGGAAGGCTGACGGGGCCTGCAGGACATGGCAGGGAAAGTGCCACCTCTTGCCTAGGCCGGACTGAAGCAGGAAACTGAGGACTCCAGACAGACCACTCTCAACATGAAGATAGGAGCAAAAAGCAGCTTTTAACGCAGGCGGCTCCTGTCAGTCTCAAGAGCCCCCAAATAGAAATTTGCACTTCTATAAATACTTCTTTTTACATCTATGAAGCTTAGATTCATTGGAGTTTCCCTGGAAAGATAGCGAGCAAGATTTACACAAAGCAGAGCAGTGGAAAGCGAAGTGTTCTGGCAGGACTTTCCAAGTCCATTACGCTCCTTGGGTACTCAGGTACATTCTACAAAGAGCATAATTACCTAGTTAACCCATAATTGCCAAACAACACAGTTACCCACAGTTGCCCAATTCCATATGAAGGGTGCTCTCCTCTCACCCCCTCAGGCATTATTCACCTTTGGAGGGGCTTGTGGTGGGGAGTGGGGAGGTGAGGGGTGACCCCAGGGAATGCCAGGCATGGAGATGGCTGGCTCTCCCCACCCCCCAGCCACATGATGCCACCAAAGGCCCTTTTTTCTGTAAGGTTTGTTTCCTCCTCTGTGATGTACTAGTTTTCGTTCAAGATTTTACCCTTTCAAAACGGGCTGTTGTAATAATGTTTATATTTATTGGGCACTTGCCATGTCTGTGAGATACTGATGCTCCTGATGTTTAACTTTCAAAGGCAGCCCCACTTCCCCTTGTGCTGTTCTCTGCCTTAGGAAACTGAGGCAGAGGTTGTCATTTATTTTAGGCAAATGGCTATAACTTTTTCAGTTTCAGCTCTTTTACCTGCAAAATGAGAGGAAGTAATGATTTTTTTTTTTTTAAAGAGAAGCTGCACTTTGGGCCTGATCAAGCTGCTCTAGGCAGCAAAGACAAAAGTGGACAGTTTGCCACACCTTTATTTGGTACATCAGGAGAAACAAATGTAACAGATGGCTCAGAGGGTGAGGAGTAACAAATGCAACAGGAGGCTGGAGAGCAGCAGCCAGGAAAAGATGCAAAGGAAGATCTTGTTGTAATAGCCAGCCTGACTGTTTTGTGCACCCATGCCAGTTTGTACCCGCCTAAGAACAAAGTATTTGCACTTGAACAGAGCACCCAAAACCCCACATCCTGCTTGGCAGTAAACTTGCTACAGTTGCAGGATGTTTTGTAGCTCACCTAGTCCTGTGAAACTTCCTTGTGTCCCCTACTAATCTGGCATGGCTCTGCTTCTGTCAGATTCTGCTTGCTCTCCCCTGAGCCCTCCCCCACTGAAAATATGATTTCAGAGGAGAAATCAAACAGCTTCTCGTTGCCAAGGAAATTTCTGAGCACTGGCAAGAAGAGCAGCGCATTTCTATTCTTTGGATTCATCCATCCATAACATTGTTGGGAAGTAAAGATTTTTAAGAGTCCTTGTGGTCATTTGCTTGAGCTCCAAGATCTTTAAGATCACTCATAAGTTATGGGAGCAAACATACAGCGGTCCTGTGGGCATTTGGAGGCCCATCTTCCCCGATCATATTTCACTTGTCTACCCAGAGCTCAAGTATTTCCATGTCATTTTCCTGTGTATTTTTCTGAGCTACCTCTGGGATTATGAATATTTCCTACTTATAGACCTCCTGTTAGAACTGTAGATCCTTAAGGAGTAAAAAGCAGCAGACTGTATTTTTCAAACTGTAGATTGTGACTCTATAGAGGATTGTGACTGTGTTTTAAAAAAATAGAACAGAACCTGGGTATGGTGGCATAAACCTGCAATCTCACCTACTTGGGAAACTGAGGCAGGAGGATCACATGTTCAAGGCTGGCCTGGGAAAATTAGTGAGACTGTGTCTCAAAATAAAAATTTTAAAGGGTTGGGGATGTAGCTCAGTGGTTATGATTTGTGTTTAGATGTTCCCCCAAAACCTCATGTGAAGGAAGTAGGACTTTCTTCAGAGGCAGATGAAACTGGAATGCGATGCTTGGGTTAAGGGCTTGTAATTACTAAACCACTAAGTAAGAATGATTAAGTTTGGCACCACCCTAATCTCGGTAGTCTGAATAAGATAAAAGAGGCAGAAAGATGCTATTAAACCCTCTTGTTACCCCTCTCCCCCGTCCTGTTACCTTTGCTGCCTTGTGAGCACCGTGCTTTCTTCTCTGTGATGCTTGTTTGCCATTTCAGCCTTGGAGCCAACTGATTATAGACTGAAACCTCTATGAACCATAAGCCAAATAAACCTCCTCCCTCCAACTTTGGGTGTCCGGTATTCTGTCTCAGCAATGAGAAAAAAGTAACTTAACACAGCGGTACAGTGCTTGTCTTGCATGTTTGAAGTCCTGGGCTTAATCTCTAGTACCACACACACACACACACACACACACACACACACCACTAGAATAAAATATAAAATTAAGCATATCAATTATGATAATAAATATTCTTCAATAAAACTTTTGTTCTACTTATATGTTTATACTGGGCAATCATGTGAAAGCTATTTCTTGCTATAAATCAGGGAAAATATGTGAAAAACATGATTGAGTCCAGAGGTTAGTACAACTTTCTTTACTTTTTTTTTTTTTTTGGTTTTTTGAGACAGGGTCTCTCTATGTAGTTGAGACTGACCTGGAACTCACTATGTAGCTCAGATTGGTCTCGAACTCACAGTGATCCTCCTGCCTCAGCCTCCCAAGTGCTGGGATTACAGGTGTGAGCCACCACGCCTGGCAGTACAACTTTCTTTTTTTTTTTTTTT